TTCACGTCGCTTTTTATCGCCGCCTAAGTAGCCACTAAACGGCAGCTCTTTAATCTCAACGACTTGGCGCGTATACCCCGAAAAAAAAGGCAAAAAATCAAGTACTCTCTGGGCTGGCTACACTGGGAAAAAATACGGCATCTCATCAATTTCATATTCGCTGGTCAAAAATATATTTTTTTAAAAGGTTAGTATTTTACATAGTATGGTACATAAAGCAATCGTTCAAAAAGGACATGGTTATTTCGGCTACCCTAATAATAATATTTGTATATTTTAGCTTATGGTTTTATTTATCTAAACTTAACAATTAGTATTAAACTAAGAGATAACGTTTCGTTAGAGCAGCTTAGGCCTTTAGGTCGGGGCTTAGGTAGGTTTATGGATCTAATATAAATTTGTATATTAATAAATATAATAACAGCTTTAGAAATACAATTTAGACATTATCATCAATCGTTTTCGATTTAACTTATGCTGTTGCTTGTTTCAAATCACTATAAAATATATTTTTTGTTCTGTGTGGCCAAAGAAATGAAAATGAACTTTCTTTGTGGTTTGGGCTTCCAGCCAGCGGAGTTGCGCCCACCTTGTTAAGCGCTAAGGACTCGCTGGGAAAAACTGGTCCGTTTTTTAACGAGGCGCACACTTGCCGGAGATCTTGGGGATTGGGGATTGGGATTTATTTTTAGTTAACGCTAAATTGAACCCTGGCCAATGGACAGTGGCTCGTTCGTTCGCCGGCTCCTTCGTTTGGCCGGTAATTGCGGATTAAATGCATCGCGGGCCTCATCATCGGATCGCGTACGCTGGGGGAATCTGATTAAGAATATTTCAATTAGCTCGCTCATAATGCCGGGTGCCACCTTCATATCCATCACCAGTTATCCCAGAGTTATTCCGATGGCTCCTGTGATCAGGATCCTGCCAGCTAAATTGCTGGCCAAAAACTTTCCCATCGGCCATCAGTGGAAAGAAAGTTTCGGTTAGTACTTTGTTGTGTTTGGTTTCTGGCTTCGGTTTTTGCATTTTTGATTGATTCGATCTTTAGGATGCATTTTGGCATGCTAATTAAGTCACTTGACCGAAGGGGATGGCCAATCGAGATGGCAAGTTGCGGATTCCACTTAACGAGATTCGATTAAATGGGCGTGTGGCGATCTTGGTTAAGGGCTCTGGATTTGGCTTTTGGCTTTTGATCCGGGTAAACGATTTTAATTGATTAACTTTCCATTTAATCGACATCCTGTTGCATGTCCTTCGGCCAGCTACTGTTAATGCTGATTGCATAGTTAAATATCTGTCCCCGTTGATGAGACAAAATTATGCCAGAAATGCCAAGGTAAAGCCGACCAGCTCATCTCGCAATATCCACTCACAGAGAAAAGATTCATGGCCAAAAGAGTATTAAATGATCAACAATCTAAGAAAGTCGTTTAAATTCTTCAAAATATTCTTTAAAAGAATCGCTTTCCTTAAAGTATGTGTTTAATTTAATAATTATTGATTGAATTGGGAGCAATCATATTTTAAAAATATAAAAACAATACGTGGTTGTTACAAATCCATTAAAAATATAACATTTATTTACTCCACATTCAGTATTGTTATATATAACTTCTAGCGTATAATGTATATAATAATCTTAAATAATATTTTATAAGATGGGCTTTAGAACTATCCATCTTTAAAATATGTTATATATACATATATATGTCCGCATTTCTGATGAAAGTCATTATTATATAAATGTGTTTGTGTTAGTAGGGTTACTCCCATTTTCTTCCTGTGCAGCTATGCCCCCATGCACTATATCATAATCCAGCGGAGGCAATCAAGCCATCAAAATATAGCAGCAACTGAAAACACTTTCATTAAACTAAATTTTTATTGTGGCACCACACCAAAAGGCCGAATTTAAAACTGGGAAACGACGATCCCATGGATCGGCGTCATTTTCATTTATGGCGATCTCTCGGCCGATTCAAAAGAGCTGACTGACTGACTATAAAACTTTGACCCAGTTTCCCCGACTGTTTTGCCAGTTGCAAGTTGGCTTTCAAGCAAAATTGCTACAAATTACACAGTTTTCGGGGCGCAAAAGTGTGCCGCATGCGTGACAGGGCAGCGCGGCAACTTTTCCCCTTTTTTCCCTTTTGCAATTAAGCTCGAACCGATGCAGCAGATTAAAGTAAATAATATCTGATGGTAGTGCCATGTGTCCGCTGCCTCACAATAACTCATAAACTGTAATCACTTAGGTCGCAAAAAGGCAGCAGGCCGCGAAACTAGTTATCCTTATCGATGTGCTCCACTACCCAAGTCCCCAAATGGTGCCCCTCATAACTCCCCGATTTCGGATCGAATCGAATCGAATCGTACACTTGAATATGCAGTTCAAATTTATTTTAATTTCAAAAACATGAAAAGATTTGGTTTTCAGCCCAAATGGGTTCAAAAATTAATAAAAAACACTTGAACTTGACTTTGCTATCAATTGGAAATGCAGTTCAAATTTGGTTTTCAGCCCAAATGGGTTTAAAAATGATATACAACTATAATCAGGAATAGTATAGTTTTAGACTAATTAACTTTTGTTACTTTTTCTCTGTGTAACGATGTGAAACGAAGACGCTGGCGAATCGAATCCCCAGCGGAAAAACGCTCTTTATCGCCGTTATCCCCTTGATTTATCTCTCACTTCACAACAGCCACACTTTTCCAGGTCATAATAAACAATTTCATAATTACAACTGGTGATTAAAATAGTCGATATCTCAAGTGCAGTTTTCTGTTTTCCTTTCGAAAGCAATATGAAGCTCATCTAAGGGAAATGGATAGTTTCTAAACGGATTTTAAGACACATATTTTCTGGCTCGACTTATTCAAAATGTTTTAAGCTTCTTTAAATAACCACATTTGTATCTAGTTTATTCAAATTCATGTAAAAAAAGGTCTGCGATCAAATAAATAATCGAAATGCGGAAAACAGCTTGCAGAAAAATGTAAAGGCTTTTTGCGAATAGTTGCAAATCTTATTTGCATTTCATTTACATTTAATTTGCATTTTTTTCAGAAATTAAACACTCGCGCACACATAAAAATGGAAAACGTGGGGAAAACAACACGAAAACCCGCAATGCAAAATGTTGGTAAGGTTGTAGTTAAGCCTTTTAATTTAAATTAAATTAAAATATTTGTTTGTTTTGTTTTTTTATATCCGACACAGGAGCGAAAAAACTGACAATTTTTTTTAAATATTTTGAAGTCTATATATTCTTAATTCAATGTAGTGTTTTTCGTTTAATCAAGAATTTAAAATAAATAATATTTGCTCTTAACAATCGAAGCATTACTAATATTTTTATATGGATGGTGGTGCTTTGGGAATCGACTAACATTTTGCATTGGACTCTTCAGCAATTTGCAGATGTGCAAGGCGACAAAGGCGTTATCAAAGATTATTTCATCGGCCCTCTACTCCTCTTTTTTTGCGGTCTTATCGATACGATATGCGAACCCTGTTTGCTGTTTAAATGCGTATTGATTATCATTAGTTAAGTTGTTAACTGATTCCGTTTAAAGATTTGTCAGCCAAACAACTTGGCAGAGGATTCCGATTCTCTTGCGAAATATTTTAATGTGATTTATCTGGCCGACTAACAACAGCGAAACAACAAGAATCGTACGATCGATCGGCCCATAAATCAGGCGGAGCCTTTGCGGCTAATGAGACAGATTGCCCCGTCTTCAGTCTTCGGTCTTCGGGCCTCGCAATTCTCCGCTCTTCACCTTTCTTCTGGAGGTCAAATGCCGGTGGTCTCTTCCCGCGATAAAGAAACCGATCCGATCTCCAACGCAATTGCAACAAATGATATTTTATTGGTATTTGATGAGCGTCGGCAGTTGATGCAATTGTCGGGTCAATAAATTTTAAGCTTGATATCGCTCATTAAAGAAGGATCTTGCAGTATACACTTGCAAAAAAGTGTAAACTATTTTATAATCCAGCGTATAAAAATCTTAATTATAAAAACGAACTATGTATCTTTGAAAAGAATATATGAAAAGCTCACTTTCATCAAGATTCGTTGAAATAAATATTCATTTAAATGAATCAAGAAATAAATGAATTGAATAACAGTATACATACAATTACATTTAAACAAAAATGTAGTTTTCTTATTTTTTTTTTTTTTTTTTTATTTACTGGAATTTGTTCAGTGCCTTCTGAACTTAACCTAGCGTAATTAACGAGAAACAGTTTTATGGATACATAGAAGCATTAAATTCTTTAAAAATATAAGTAAAATATCACAATTTCAATGATATTATACCATGTAATTTATTTTCCAAGTGCATAAGGTCGTAATTGTGATGGGAATCGACCACCGGGTGCGTTTCGTGTGGGAGAAGCGAGTCCTAATCCCCGGTTAAAGCACAAAAAATAACATCACATAAATAATGCGCTCATTGAGTTCCACTTCAATTCACTTCAGTTTGAGTTTGAGTTCCAATTTGGGATCGAATTGTTTTTGCGGCCCCCTTGGCATTTTATTTTTTTCCCTTTTTGTACAATAAATCACGCGACAGGCCAATTAGGTCCGTGCGATTTGCGATCACTGTTCTCCGCGAGGAGCTAAAAAAAAAAAACATTGGTTCAAACTTCGAGGATCCCATCGGTCGCAAAAACTCTTACCCCTCCCAAAACTCCAATTGCAACTCAATTAGGTCAGTTACGGATATTAATCCCTGGCTTATAGATAATGTTGGTTTTTGAGTACAAAACAATTATCTACAGTTCGTGATATCTACATGACTTATGAGGTTGGTCAAGGTCTAGAGATATGGTGCCTAAGTAAAATAGATAATGTTACCAACATGCTTATTAAGTCCCCTTTAAATACAAATCACAATGTGTTGGTCAAGATAACTAAATACCTATCGATAATGGATCACATCTTTACGACTTACTCGATATGATTCATACATAAGCGAAATACCTTTTATGAATATCAATTTATTTCAATTTTGTACATTCACTGCTTACTTTACTTTTGGAAAAAAAAAATGTTTTACAATATTAAGATTCATATTAGGGTAAGATTTCTTAGAAATATACTTTTTCGAAACCCTCCGAAAACAAATCATTTGTTTAACATCCACACTACACAAGCCACAAAAAAGAGGTTCCATAGACCCATGATTTTTACGGAATCCGAGGAGTTTACCGGGGCAAATCCCAGTCGTTGATTGCCCACATCGAATTCGGTGTAGAAACGTCCCAAAAATATATCGCCAAAAATCCAAAAGTTCTGGTTAATCGATTGAATGCCCAGCATACAGTAGTTTCCCTCCTGGGTGACATAATACTTGGCCGGAATCCTAAAGACCTCGCCATTAATGGTGATCACCAGATCTGGCATGGAATTCAGGCACTCAAATAACCCATTTGCATTGGCATTAAAAATTGCTGCAATCACATCGTACTCCGAAACGGGGGCGATAATTAAGGAAGTTCCTGTATCGGCAATTGCTGCATCATTAATGCTTATAATCACATCGCCGACTGCGATCGAATCGGTTTGGAATTTCCAATAGGCCGCCTGGATGACATCCACATAGGTAAGATCGCCCCTATAAAGCGATGGATCCGAACCGCCCAGGATTAGTTCGCCGCCATAGTTAACCGTACTGCCATTATCCCGCAGGAAAAATGAAAACACGGAGTTCTGCACGAGTCCTTGGGTAATCATATTCTGGAATGTCGGGGTAACTCCATCCACGGCCAAAGCGGGAAAGCCCATACCCAGTATACCATCGAAGTGGGCATAGGCGAAGTTCGATCCCTGCTCGGTGGTGACCTCACCAAATGTCTGATTCTTGACAATCAGGCCAGCGAAGCCGACAGAATCCACGGATAGATAGCCAGAAACACTGCCAGTGCCATAGGTTATCGAAAAGGCAGTTCCATTGGCCACATAAGTACTCGACTGGGTTTTGTTATAACTCAGATGGCTTAAACACGAGGTATCCTGGCACGAACTTCCGGGCACCCAAAGATTCGAGGAGCCCGTATCGAATTGCACCAGGAAATACTGCGCTGGCGATCCAATACTTATATTTCCATAGTACTGATAATTATCAGAGTTCGATAGCTGTTCCATCGGATAACCATTGACGGTGTTTAGATTGTACTTCTGCTGAACAAAATCCCTTTCCGCCTGAATATTTTTGTGACTGCGCTTGAAGTGCTCCGATCTCTGGATGGGTATGCGATTAAGGGCGGCATTGGCCACGCCCACCAGGAGCAGAATACCGGCCAAAAAGGCAATTGGTATTATTACGGAACGAGCCATGTTCACGGTAGCGAATGGCAAACACGACTAACTGGGCTCCCACTATCAGTTGGGGTTCTTATAAAGAAGGTTGGGGTTCTTATAAAGAAGGTTCTTATAAAAAAAATAGAGGAGCTTAGCGATATCGACAACAGTGTCGCGTGTGTGATTGTACAACAATCAATCAAAGTATTTTACAAATCTCGGCTAGATAACCAAAGGTTTATATCCACGCCAGTGTAATAATTCCCCCAAATCAGGCATTTAATATACTACATTTGCTATGATAAATTAACATGGATTTTTGATTCGTTTCTGTTCAAAATTAAATAGTGAATTTTGAATTATTTTTTTTTTAAGTTCTGGTATTTAAACTACGAAATTTTATTTGCATAAATATACATTTTTGATATTTTATCTATACTTTTCTATATCATTTAATTATATTGATTCCAAAGACATTATGCATATACCAAGATTTATTCTTAAGCTTACGTTCTTTATCAGTTTCCCCATTTTACTTACTCACTGCGATAAGGGGCCTTAACTTACCTATCGGTTTGTTATCAAATTATGATACAATGTGCGTTAATCATAAAAAAAAATCACCTCAAATCCTTGATTGAAAATTCGAGGAAATGACGATGAAAACTTTGTTTTCCTTGGATACCGAAAGTCAACTTTTATTACTCGTTATCAATAACTCATGATATATGTACATACATTCGTCATACTGTCCATTCTTGTTTAATAAATCATTCAACACATTATTTGATTGGGAAAGCTTAAACAAGATTAGTGAGTAACGTTCTTTTCGTAAGAGTGATCAGCGTTTGTTATATTTTTTAAATTTATTTAATATATTCAACATGCCAAGATAGTTAATAAATGTACACCGAACTCTGGTTCAATTTAATTAATGTTAAAGAAGATAAAAATAGAAAATTACTTCGCTATAGATTTAAATTAGTAGAATGCAATTTATTCAATACAAAAACTGCATAAATTAAGTTTTATCCCAAATAGACTATAAATATCTTCTAAAGGTAAGTTAGTTCCTATTTTTGAGCAACATTCAAATGGAAATCACTTCCTGTCTAGGAAATTTGTTATGGGTTCTGACTGTATAAATGTTAATTAACCTAGCTGTCCATAGATGAAGATGTCAGCTATTCTGCTTGAAGGTGTGGGAATATTTATGGATTTACCGGGACTAGAAACCCAAGGAAATGCCTTAAGAACTGGACCCACCAAGACGTACGAAAGATGAATGAAGAAAGCCAGGCTGAAAACAAAAAGTTATTGTTTTTAATATATGCACAAAGAGCAGAGGCACTGGAGAAAGGTTAAAGGACACAGCAGAGGTCCTCGACGGGTAGCATGGGGCAATGTATCTGTATCTTTAGGTGTCAGCCACTTGATTAGCCATGACCTAATGTTGCACTACACACAATGGGCCATGATGAGGCCCCTTTGTCGCCCGTGCGGCAGTGTCAACTTGGATTAGTTGCGCTACCAACCAATCCTATACATCCTATATATATCTATACAGTTGCGGTTGAAAAAATAGCACTGCCAGTGTAGCTGAAATTTGTTATTTTTAAACCACTATAAAATCAAGGGGTCAAGGAAAATAATATATGTGACTTTTACAAAACCACAAAAAAAATTAATAAGTATTTTATTATAATCATTTATTTTATATTTATATTTAATACTAATAACAAATATTTTTTAATTTTACTCAACCGTTTGAGCAATAATTAAAACTATTGTGACAAAAATAAATAATTATTTTTTTTTATCGCTATTTAAATAATTTTTTGTGAAATATTCGTCAAAAAAATTGAATTCTAGAGAAGCCTACTAATTCTATTTTACTTTTAACAAACATTTTTTTTAATATAAAAATCACAATTCGATTTGACATTTTCTCTATTGGCCCAAAAAATACTAGTATTTCTTCCACGGCTGTATACATATATGTTTACCGATTCTTTTTGCGTGGGCGCTCAAGTCAAACAAATTGAAAATTTATCACCCGAAGCGAAACGCACCACACACCGTACCCAAAAAAAAAAAAAAACCGATGATGAGTGTGTGCCAAGACAAATTAATTTTTTACACTATGCTACTTGCAACGGTGGCGATCACAAATTCACAGAACCATTCGCAAATTGATTTCGCTTTGCCCTAATGTGTCAACCGAACAATGTCTTTTCTCTGAATAATTCTCTGATTTTTTTCACCGGCTTTTCGGTTCTATCCAATTTCAAAGGATATTCACACGCAATGCCGACTGGCGAAGCTCTTGGAAGTCATTGGCATGTTGTGAACTGGGGTTACACTGCTAAAAACCAGCCCTTAAATGTTGTTATAAGCTAAGTTTGAGGTTTTTGTATTTTTATTTTAATTTTTTTTTAGATTTTGTTGGAAATGTTGTAGCATGGTACTTTTAGGTTTTAAACTGCCCAATTCGTACCTCAGCTTGGAGATTAATATGGTATTATACATTCGCATAGCTTTTTCGCAGTGCAATACCATTGGAGTGGGTGAAGACTTTTGGTTCTGTTAGCTGGGAGTTGGAGATATATATCTTGGGCATGCTATATGGCCCTCGAACCTCGGGGCGCTGCATTTTAACTTCAATTTCATTTCGCGCTGATCGATTTTTGCACGCAAAGTGTGAGGGAGTCCCCCGATTCCCCATTCCCCATTCCCGATTCCCCATTCCCGATTCCCCCCTCCCGATTCCCGATACCCGATCCCCGATCCCCGATTCCCTATTCCCGATCCCCGGTTAACCCCCGACTGCCTCTGTACTTAGGCATAGAATTTATTGTGCAGTCCGATCAATATTTTATTGTTTTCGCTAAAACTTCTGCACCTCCTCGGAGTTATTTTTTCGAGGTGGTTCTCGTGGTGGTGCGTTATCAGACTTTTGGGATTCGGAGCTCGAGAAGATCGAAGGTGCAGCTTCAAAGCGCCGTCGGCAGCGAGGGGTTAAGGGGAACGCATATCGGTTTCAGTTTCGGCCACATGCAAAACAATAATCGATGCCGGGCAATTGGGAGTCTTGCTGCAGTCATTCCATTTAAAAACGTGTTAAAGAGTGCTGCGCAGGGGTTAAAGGGGGGCACTCAGGGGTTAAGGGGGCTCAGATCACGCCCACAACTGCACCGCCCTGGCTTATTTGATTTTGGATGCGTTCATATTCCGCCGCCCGCGGCTGCACTTCATCCTCCACATGAATTTATGATGTGATTTCGATCATTTGACATAATCTATTTAGCGTCTGCTCTCGTGCTCCTCTGAGTTCAGAATTCCCGACTTCGGGACTCGCATTCAGATTCGGTATCCAGGTATCCAGGTATCCACCGCCTCCTTCAACTCACTTCGGCATTGGGGGCATAATTTGTAATGAGATAATTTTATTTGCTTTGCCCAATGACTTGTGTTTGGATTCTGGCTGGGCAGGAGGTGGGTTTTAAAACAGCGATTCCGGGGATTCTTTGGGAGGTGCAGATGGTTCCGAAACGATATTCAAGTTGGTTGTCCTCTTGTGGCTTATTAATGAATACTTCCTTGATCGAAATAGGAATATTTTTAGCTTAAGTCTAAACTAAGTATTAACCATGTGTTAGATTTGATTTTAATGAACTATATTAAGCAAAAGACTACTCAAGTTTTATTCATTGCCTTCCTGTGAGTAATATATTATATATTAAACTCATATTAAATTTTCACAACGACTATACCTACACATTGTGATCCTTCATATCTAAGAACAGCTTCCCCTATTTGTGATCTCTTCGCAGTGAGTCATCGCAGCAATTAGTACTTTCCCTTACCAAATCTAGAGAAATTAGTTTTCACTGATAAAGGACACACGCAGGCCAAACAAATTTCCAAACCCCTTAACCAAGCCGTAACTTTCGACCAAGTGATGGTATCGGGACTTACTTTAATGTTACTTAGCTACTAGAGTAGCTACTGATCCTTCGAAGGAGGCTGTAGATCCACCAGCTAGCTAACACGCAATCTTTTACGAGCATAACTAATGTCCTCGGGATTTTACGACTTTCACCTACCGCAGTAGTTGAAAACTCTTAACCCTTGAGGTTTTCCTTTGGAGGGGGTTAAGGAAAAGCGGCTGCTAATTGATACAGTAGCCACGGAAAAAGGGACACGCGTCCTGCTCGAGCGATCTGTATCGGCGGAGAGGACGACTAATTAAGGACCCAAAAGCAAGGACCCACCGCACACACAGCCCTCTGCCAAAGAAAGTTGTGTTATTAAATGTTTCTCCATTTTTCCATACACTTGCTACACAGAAAGCAAAGTGACTTGGTTTGATGATCATTTACCTGATTGCACATATCAATTTCTATCACAATATATATATTTTGCGAGACAGAATATCAAATTAAATTTTATTTTTAAAATGCCCAGCACTTAAAAGCAAAATAATATTTTTTAATCGTTTTTTTTCCTGTGCATCCAACATTGTTTCAGTTTTGATTTGTGTAACCTAATGAAATGTCTGCTGACTGACCCACATTGTAAGTCGGAACCGAAAATCCAGAGATCCAGAGATCCAGGGATCCGCAAACCGTTAATGCCAGTGCTGATAGTTACTAATTGTTTGTTATTAACGTTCTTTAACGGTGTTTTTTTGGCTCCGATCCCCCAGATCGGTGAGGGATTATGCTCTACTGGTCCATTCATTGCAATCAAGAGGACTTGGAGTCGAAGTCCAGAATCGGAGACGGAGACAGAGACGCTGGGAAAGAGCCGTGCGTTGATCGATAGCCATCACTGTGCTCAGTTGATGGTCGCGATCTCGATGGCCAACTTGTTTTTCAATGTGATTTATACCCTCTGAATGGGTAAGTCAATATACAAGTCACTACTCCACATATATGGTCTATGGAAATTCTAGTTTGGTTTTTAAACTAAGAGTTTAAGAAACAAAGTAAAATAAAAACACATTTGTTTAATGAAAATGAGGCAAGTAAATTAAAAGAGAATTCACTACAATTTTCTTTTAATTCAAA